GTTTTACGGGAGGGAGGCGATGAACGTGATAGCGTGCGAGGGGGCGGGGCGGTTGGAGAGGCCGGAGACGTACAAGCAGTGGCAGGTGAGGATGGGAAGGGCAGGGTTCCGACAGAAGCCGGTGGAAGCCGAGCTGGTCGAGTGTTTCAGAAGGAAGCTCGAGAGATGGGGTTACCACAAGGACTTTGTCGTCGACGAGGACAACAACTGGTTCCTGCAGGGCTGGAAGGGTCGGATTCTCTATGCCTCTTCTTGTTGGGTCCCACTTTAGATACATTCTTAGATTCTTGTATTGTAATCTGTATTCACACTGTTATCATGTTTTGGTGTGTAATCACAAAGTTTCAGTTGGAGAATAGTCACGACAAAATCTTGTTTTTAATTAATAAGCGTATAATTAGGGGTGACCGTGAATTGTCAGATTTTATTATACCAAATTACCTTTTTATTTCATAGAAAATATTAATTTTTATAAATAAATCTTTGGTGAAAAAGAATTTAGGACTCGGTGCGAATTCGACCGACCGAACTGTTAGAACCAAATTTCGAAAGTTTTTTTTATACCTGTTTATGAATAAGTAACGTTTTGGGACCCCAAAAATATAATCATTTAATTCCTTTATTAAACGTGATAGAACCGAATCGAAAAGATCACCGGATTTAATAGAAATCCTCACAAGAGCAGTAGTCAGTCAAAGAGAGAAAAAAAAAATTATTTCGAAAAAACATAATTAAGAAGAGGGGAACGATAACTGAAGCGAGTGCTAAATTATTGGACTTGTATCAAATGTACAAAAGGGTAAACAACAGGGGGACCCTCTCCTCACCAGCCTATGTAGGAACCACCTGCGGTTCAAGCGGCGGCGCGCCTCCGCTGTCCTCCACCGGAGCCGACGAGGAGCCCTCATGGCTCGCCGGCTTGTCCGACTCCTCGAACCCAGATTTGAAGCGGTCGTAGTTGGTAACCTCCATCGACTGGAAGGGCCGCTCTCCCAAGACTTTGACGAGGTCGTCCTGGTGAAGGACCTCCCTCTCGAGCAGGAGCTCCGCGACCTGAGCGACTTGCTCCTTGTGTTCCATGATCAGTTCCACCGTCCGCTCGTACGCTTTGCTCACCCATTCCCTGACCTCCTCATCGATCATGGCTCCCGTTTTGTTGCTGTACGGCTTGGAGAAGTCGAACCCTTCTTCCCGCGGCGGGAACGACAGCAACCCGATCTTTTCGCTGAATCCGTACACCGCCACTTGCGCATACGTCATCTTCGTCACCTTCTCCAGATCATTCTGAGCTCCCGTCGAGATTTTCCCAATCAGCACCTGCGTTCAAAAGACAGCCAAACTCATTATCCAGATCATGAATGTAGTGTCCTTTCAGTTGTTTACCACATACAATCTCCACAAAAGCATATTTTCCACACAAGACGAAGAAGAAGAACTGCACTTGTCAATCTAAGAGAGATTGGGAAAAGGTAGATAAACCTGTTCAGCTGCACGGCCGCCAAGGGTCATGCAAGTCATGTCAAAGAGCTGCTCCTTTGTCATGAGGAGATTTTCGTTCGGAACGTACTGAGCAAACCCGAGAGCAGCTGTACCTCGGGGAACAATCGTTACCTTCAGCAATGGTTCAGCGTGTTCCAGAAACCACCCGGTCACCGCATGTCCTGCCTCATGATAAGCAACCGTGCGGCGCTCTAACTTACTTATCACCTGTCCATGAAAGAGAGAATTCAGATTTCATTTTCGAGCTTTATGAAAAGAGAAAAAGCCATGGATGCTGATACTGATAATGTTTAACACCAAGGAAAGACGACAAACTCATGATCATAAGATCGGGCACGAAAGGAAAACTGTAGACAAATCAGCTTTAATGATAAGGCGGAAAGCACGTACCCGGTTTTTCTTCTCTAGACCTCCAATAACACGATCAATAGCAGCTTCAAAATGCTCCATGGTAACAGTTGATCCTTCATGTCTTGCGGCAATAAGAGCTGCCTCGTTACAGACATTCGCAATGTCAGCTCCGGCAAATCCCGGAGTCAGGGCTGCAAGCCTTTCAGAGTAATAAGACGGTTCGTTATCGAGTTTTATCTTCTTTAAGTATATCTGGAATATCTGCTCACGGCCTTTAATATCAGGTTTATCGATAGTGATCTGACGATCGAACCGACCAGGCCTTAGCAAAGCTTTGTCGAGAATATCAGGTCTGTTGGTACCAGCAAGCACAACAACACCAGTAGTTGTACCAAAACCATCCATTTCAACTAGAAGCTGATTAAGGGTGCTTTCGCGCTCATCATTTCCACCCGAGAAACCCCCACGGCCTCTTGCCCGACCAATTGCATCGATCTCATCAATAAATATTATGCTAGGGGCACATTGTCTAGCCTCTTGGAACAAGTTTCTTACCCTGGATGGTCCAACACCGACAAACATCTCCATGAAATCTGAACCGGATATCGACAGAAAGGGAACCCCCGATTCCCCCGCTGTAGCTTTTGCTAGAAGAGTCTTTCCTGTCCCAGGGGGACCAACTAAAAGCGCACCTTTAGGAATCTTTGCTCCCAGTTCTTCATATTTCTTTGGGTTCTTAAGGAAATGCACAAACTCCATGATTTCTTGCTTTGCTTCTTCACAGCCAGCAACATCTTTAAAATATATCTGGTGTAAACAAAAAGGAAGAACAATGAAATCATTTCAGGTGTAACTTTCAATAGCACAATGACACGGAAAAGGGAATACTACTATATTTAGCTTCTTAGATCGAAAGCTAACCTTGTTCTTTGAATTCTTATCCACTCTCGTTATTTGTGCTTTCCCTATACTGAAAATTCCACGACCACCCTTTCCACCGGTTCCCCCTAAACCAACTCCACCTTGCATCCGTCTCCCAGCATACATAAGAGATGCCAAGATAAGAAATGTCGGTGCAAACCTCATCAATTCCTGGTACCAGACCATTTCAGAGACATATTTGACAGGTACATAGTCGTGAGGATCAATGCCTAATGCTTCTTGGGCTTCTTCGAGTTTCTCCTCAAAAGATTCAACGCTCCCAATATTAAAATAAAACTTGTACTGACCACTATGACCTTTAGATGAAATTCCATTACCAGGTCCTTGGACAACATCTTCAGTTGTTTGATTTTTTGGTGAGCTCCTTACATAGACTTTGGCTACTGATTTATTGGTAACTTCAATGTGGTCCACTAGGCCAGGCTCAAGAAGCTTGTTTCTGAATTCCTGGAAAGTGATCTGCAAGGAGATAAATTACAGGATATTAATGGAATTCAATGGTCATAGATAAAGAGATCCAAGACAACAGAAAAATTAGTTAAAAATGCTTGCCTGTGGTTGTTCTTGAGAAGTAAGCGAAAACGAAGAAAGGATTAGGCCAATGGCCAGCAGAGGAAGTAACATGTTTTGGAACTCCTTCGTGAACATATCCCCAAAATTCTCATTCTCACTCTTTTTAGAATCCTCTGTGTTGCAATAAAAACATCAGTAAACTGTCATCTTAAAACAAACCACAATAACACTTTGAATAGAAAAATAAAATCTCAGAAAAACAAAAGGCCCAAAAAGAGTTACAATACTGTACATAGACAAAAGCTTACAACCTACTATTTCTGCAAGAAAAACCAGCACGAAATTGGGTATCGCATAAATGATTCGTTCTCAAATTCTATTGGACTATATTAAAGATAAGCAACAACTTCTAAAGCTACCAAATTCTTACTGTGTCAACGGGCTGTGGGATAAATGCAAGAAACGGGATGGAAACTTCCCATGTGTTTCGCGGCTATCAAGTTTCAAGTATCAACCTTTTTCTCCATGAGCTCCCAATACCCCAAAACCACTAATCAGATGTCTATTTCTCCACCAAACAACAAGATATGTCAACTAGGAAAGGCCTCAAGATCACTCTTAAAGTCACACTATCTACCAGTAACACATGGTTATAGGCATCATATTTTCCAATCCCAAGGCACAAATCCAGGACAAAATAAATGCTGCAGAAGCATTACATGATATCTATAGAAGATCTGAAAAAGACAATGCAAAGAAAAGTTGCCTAAAAATTACAGCTTTCCCATTTCTCCATCACGTGCCAAAAACTAGCGTGTCATAAATTACTATATCTTCACCAAATGCAAGTTTCCTCTTTACCGCCCGGCCAAACTGTTAAGAAGAAAGTATAGATATATCCACAAGCTCCTATATAAAACCCACTGGCCTAATCATTTTCTTCGACATAACATCATAGGTAAGTTGTATACACATTTCACATAATACTGTAATGAGAGAGAGCATCGGCTATTGGATCACCTCCAGACTCGGATTTCTTTTCATTCTTGGAGGTTCGCTTTGTCTCTTTCGGGTAATAGTTCTCGTAATCTGCGAAGACAATACAAACAACAAAAGCAGCAATAACATATCAGAAATGGGCATCAGCTAACATCTCAAATCAACAAAACCATAGCTTTATTAGTCACTAAATGAATCCCAGTAGGAACGCGAATGTTAATAGGGTTTTGCAACATACTCTTCTTCTTAGGGGCTTCACTAGAGAAGAACCGACGAATTCTAGGGTTAGCAAGAACACCGCTTAAATCACCGCCAATCAAGCCCTTCCGAGCAGCTAAAGAAGCAAATTGCTGTCTCAGAAACCCTAATCCACCATCCACCCGATTGACTGCCGCCTCCAGACCCGGCAGTGGTTGCAGCTTCCCCTCGCTCAGAATCGCCGATCTCACACCACCACCGTACAATGAACCCTGGGTCGCCCAAAAAAATATGAAATTTGGAAAACCCACAAAATAATATGACGAATTCAAGAACAATATTAGCAACGAAAACGAACCCTAGAACGAGAGGATCGAGCGACGGAGCGTGCAAGCTTCGAGAAAATCATTGTCATAAAATTACGATGAACAACAAGGTGCGCGCATAATATAAAGAGAAGTGAATCGGAGATCTGATTAACACAAACGAGGAAAATCAGATAGATCGGAGAAAGAAGTACAACAAAATTTAGGAATTAGGGTTTTTAAAATCAGGAGCTCACAACGAAATTTTGGGATTTTATCAATGTCGCCGAGGAACAAGAACAAAAACAAGGATTTTTTAACCCAAATGGACGCGTAAGGAGATATTTTGTGATGCAGTGACATGTAGATAACGTGAAGCTGAAAACCGCTTGCCGGTTTGGTGAATCTCGAGCCGAATAATTTCGATTCATTGGTTCGGGTCGTGATTATGGACCGGAAAATGCGTTTTTGGGCCTCCTCTGAGCTCCATTTTGAGCCCATTTCATCTGTATCGATTTGGGCCCTGAAATTTCTGGCTTACAATAAATATTTTATGAATAGCCCATTTCACAATATACATTACATATACACACAAATTGATAGTTAGTGTTATAATCAAAGGTTTTGTCTCTATCTCGCCATTAAAGTCAGCCTATTTGTGAAATTAGCTTTTGACTTATATCGTCTAGTTCTTTTGTAGATTGTGTTTAGCTATCGGTTTAATAATCCACAACAGACAATGAAAAAAGAAATATGATTTATTTTTCCACTAAAAGTAAAAATTAACGGTTTTTATATAAAAAAAAAATTGTTTCGGTAATGCTCCTTGGATAGGCAAAATAGCAAAAGTACCTTTGATTTGCTGCAAAGACTTCATGTATACCCTTCAAAACTTTAGGATTTTGAAAAAAAAATAAAAGGAACAAAATACATAATTAACTTTTCAGAAAAGTAACGTGACACCCCTCTCTCACTTAGTCATTTTGAATTCATCTTTCTCGTTCTCATACTTTGATAACTCTCCATTTCTTTCTTAACTTTCTCTCTCTACCGTTATCTTTCTCTCAACTTTTCCATTTTTTCCCTTCTCATTTTATTTTTACGCATAGAAAAACAAACGAAAAATGATTATTTCGTTGAACATATCTTCACTGACGACCTCATATCTTCTTCTTGAGTCGGTCTAAGACATAACAAATGACAAGAACTGAAGGTAAGTTCATTAATACAAGAGATTGGTTCGATATATAAACTTTGTGTTTTGGGTTTGAGTTTTATGTTTTTTAAAGTGAATCGTGTGGTTTTTTATGAAAATGAGACAGATGCACAGCATATCTGTCAAAGAATATGCAAGAGGCGCATATCTAATTTCAAATAAATGTTCGGAGCGATAATGGAACAGATTGACAACGAAAACAAAGGTAAGTCACATTGGTTACACCGTTTAAAATTTAATTTTGGTCACACTGGTCACACTGGTCACATTGGTCACACTGGTCACACTAGTCACACTAGTCACACTAGTCACACCGTTCAAAATTTAGTTTTGGTCACACTAATCACACTGGTCACACTAGTCAAATTGGTCACACTAGTCGCACTGGTCACACTGGTCACACTAGTCACATTGATCACACTGGTCACACTGGACACACCGTTCAAAATTTAGTTTTGGTCACACTAGTCATATTGGTCATATTGGTCGCACTAATCACTTGGTCACACTAGTCACACTGGTCACACCGGTCACACCGAAAATTTTTAAAATTCACGCGAAAATATTTATTTTTTTGTGATGGAGGGAGTTTTAAAATTTTTAAAATATTTAAATTTTTTACTAGAAAATCGAAAACTGCTTTTCTCTTTCTTCTCATTAATGTTTATGTCATTGGGACCCACACCAATGGATATTATGGGAATAACATAATTATAAAAGTATGTTTTGAATTAGTTTTTTATTTTATTTTTGTAGGGATATGCTGTGAAGTCTTTGTAGTTTGTAGCCTAATAGGGGTATTTTTGATAAAAAAAAAAACCCTTGGATACTATTATTTTCAGAAAATTTAAGGATTCAAAATTTTAACCATACAATATTCTTGGGTTTCGTTTAAAATAAAAATATATTTTATATTCTAAGTGTTGATGTTATATTTGTGGAGACTATGGTGTATTATTCCATACCATAAGAATAGTTTATGTGCGCATCTTTGCATCATCGATTTCGAAAATCAAATTTCAAACTCAGCTTTAGGAGAAGAATTGTAGTCCAATTGACCGCCAATGAGTAATACATGTGACATAAGTCACTGGATATTTTATATACTATATAAATTATTAATAAAAATACGATGAGTGAAAATGGTGGGGTATTTATATAATATATGCATATATATATATATATATATATATATATATATATATATAGGGAAAATGGTGGGGGCTTTGCCACAAGACCCTGCCCGTGCCGACCATGTCCGACTCAGCTCACACATGTTTCCATGTGACCTCGGCATTTCTACATTGCAATGGTTAAAAAAAAAACAAAATATGTCACTTTTTTTTCTTAAAAATTAAATTATATATGGTACATTTTTTTTACCATAAACACCTATTTTCGGTCGGAAGTGATTTGAAATCAATAAGTACGTGGTATTATTGATTATCAAATATCAATCTGACAATTAAATCAAGATATAAACTCGCATTAGTAAACTTTGCTTTATATTTGCATTGAAAAACTGTGCCAAACAAAATCTGTCCTGAAATTTTTTTTATAAGTATAGAAAATAAAAATAAAAAACTTCCTGAATTTGTATCATAATTTTGATTTTTCTTATTGACTATATTTTAATTTAATATATAAACATGCATTAAAACTGTATGTTATTATATTCTTTTGTTGTATGGATAATAAAATATAAAATTATTAAATTTTAAAAACTACCCACCTTACTAAACCATTAATAAATGGAATAGAACTTTGTATAATTTTAAAATGTAAACAATTTCTTGTACATTAATATTATCTTCTTTGTATTTGTCTTTGTTAAATTAAATATGTCACTCTATATTATAATATAATAAAATTTGTAATGTAAGCATATATAAGATTAATATATGATTTTAAAAAATAAGATTAAGATAAATTAAACTTGCCAGAACTTATATATATATATATATATATATATATATATGTGTGTGTGTGTGTGTGTGTGTGTGTGTGTATTAAAGTTGAAATGATCGATCAATCAAATTATCCAATAAACAAAAATTTTAAAATAATCAGAATATGAATTGAACGAGTTGTGTAAGAGACTACGTAATTTGTACAAAAAAATTACATTTTATACCATAATCCTTTACGATTTCTATCTTTTAATTTAATTTACATTTTTTCTTTTTATTTAGATTTGATTTTATTTTAAAACAATTATTTTCTAAAAATATTCTATTGATTGATTTGCAAATTTTTCTATTTTTTCAAGTTTTGCTTAAATTATATTATTACTGCGATTTTTCGTTTTTATCTATTTGAACGTCTACTATTAATTTGAATGGGTGAATTGTTATTTATTTATTTTTTGAATCCAACATACTCACATGGTGATGTCAGCATTGCAGGAACTGTAACGTGGTAAAAATAAATTAATTTGAAAAATGTACTTATGTTTTGGATCCTTTTTTCTAAAATAAAAATTTACTGCTCGACTTTTACTGTTTTGTTATATATATATATATAAATATTCATTTTTCAAAGTTGTCATAATCATCATAATCAATGCAACAACCATTTTTATAACCTTAAATTCTGTCCTGAATTCTTACTAAACCATATGAACATAATGTTTATTTAACTTTTAAAATGTACCAAATTGGTATTATTTATTGGAATTGAGGACTGACCAGGAAATTACTGTTATTTTGAAAACTGGGATACATACAAAAAATACAAATATTATAATTATATATTTACTGTAAGACTGATCTGTGAATATGTGATGTTGGGAACTACACATGGTTCTATAGATTTTTCATGCCTTTGTTAAGACAGGTCCAATAAATTTCACAAATTCAAATGAAAACTCTATTATTAAAAATATACGATAAAAAATGGAAAATACGTATGGTTCCATGAATTCGTATTTCCTTTTTATTTAAGATATTTTATCGCTGTTATGCATATATATATATATATATATACACTCACAAATTAATGTCATCGGATCTGGTTTAAATTTCCATTTGGTTATTTGATTTCATTTTAAACTGCATCCGCTTATTTTGTCCAAATAATTTTTTGGGGTTACGGATTTTGCAATATGGGGGTTTGGGCTTTTACGTAGCGTTGACGATATCGTAAATATTTTAGCTAATGATGTATATGAATTAATTCGATTGGCGTATCTATAAAGGCATGATTCCCTTGCTGACGTGGCGAAATGCGATTGGTGGGATCGTCGGGAACTCTAGGTCTTTGTTCTCTCTACCACAAGATCTCCACATCCTCGTAAACCTCTTCTTGAGATCCGCCATTAATGTTGGAGGCACCGATCGATATCATACGTTTATATACATAACATATATATATATATATATATGCGTGTGTAACATAGATACAGTCGGACGCATATATGCACACCTCTACATATACATATACACGTATGCATATGCCTTGTTATTATAAACCTCCACTTAAACCGTCACATGATAGAGAGATCCCAATATTATATAGCACAAGAAAAAGATTTCGTTTCTGTATATCCGATATGCATTATTGCTGTATATATATATATATGTGTGTCTTTTTATTTTACTTTTTTCGGATATTCTGATAAATCTAAAACATATATAATCATGGGGTTTTTTTTTTTATGTAATGGGTCGTATATTTTTTTTTTTTTTGGGTCGTGGGATTAGAGGGGCAAAGAGTGATGGGGTGAGAGACTTCAAATGGTGACCAAGAGAAAGACATGTTTCCCTCTAATAATTTCACGTGTTTTTTTTTCACTTGTGTCTTGAAAACAGCCTGGATTTATAGAACCCCAACTTCAATTGCCCCAAAATTTGGATTTTTTTTTTCTCTCTAAAATTTGTACTCGTAGTAACATGTAATTTTAAAAACGAAAATTTCCATTTAATAGATGTCTCCAAAACAAATGTTAGATTTTTGGGACGTTTACATCAAATTCATTATGATATACATATATATATATATATATATATATATATTACTAATTACAATAAAAATAATCAAAACATTGTTGCTTATTACGACAAATTACAGATTATAAAACTAAAAACTTAAATTTGTGATTCTTTGACCGCCAAACTAGCCGAATAATCATTTCATCGGTTTCAAAGTTCGTAATTCCCCTTCACACCGATGTTTTAAATATGCAAAAATTAAGGTGAGCGATTTGGAATTCTGCCTAACTCTATTGCCATCTTATTTTGCAAAAAATTGTCGAACCGGGCCGGATATCGGGTGGCTCCTGATTGATGTCGAAACTCTTAATCAGAGAATTAATTTGAAATAATTAATCACCTCCTGATTGATGCCGAACTAATAATTAGTTAATTATTTTAAAATACTACACAGTATTTATCATTTCCATTAGTCGTACATGTTTTGTTTGGGAGGCACTTATATATATATATATTCAGAACCACTCTCACTCTCACTCTCTCTCTCTTCTCTCTCTCTCTAGGTCACTTTCTCTTCTACTAGTTCAGTAGCCACAAAGCTCGCTTTTATAAAAAAAAAACAGAGACCCGTAAAAAAACAAACAAACCCTCGATCTGAATCAGAAGCTCGCTGCGAGAAATTCAAATACATGGATGAGAAGTGGAAGATCTCGAAGAAAGAGACCTCAGCTTCTTGTTCGTCGTCAAAATCCAAGTTCAGCAGAAGCTTCTCGACGAGCGCTTCCTCGGCAAAGTCCCCCGTGTTCGTACGGAGCTCCTCCACCAAATGTTCTTCCGTCCCTTCGTCGTCGTCTTCTTCGATTTCCAGAAGCTTCTCCAGGAAAGAACGAGGATCATCTTCCATAACGCAGAAGTACAGCAGCTTGGCCAAGGAGCAGAAGGCCAGGTTCTACATCATGAGAAGGTGTGTGGCTATGCTTGTTTGTTGGCATAAACATGGAGATTGATTCATCTTAGATCAGATTTTTTGTAATTATATATCAGTTTGATTGTTGAGGTGGCCCACGAGTTTCCACAGTACATTGTAAGAAGATATTTTTATTGATTAATTTTAGGGTTCCTAAGCTATTTCCCCCCCCCCTCTAAATCCCAAATTTTCCATTTGATTTTCCATGAATTTACCTTCGGATGATATATTAATGTCTGTTTTTTATGAAATAACTTAAAAAAAAACAGTTTTTTTTCTTTTCTTTTTGGTCAACAAAAGATTGAAAGTGCAATGTTATGATCATACAATATCTGGAGGATTGATGTATCAACACGTACAATGTTTTTGTAATGATTTTACATATAGAATGGTCACTTTCAATGTCTGTGGGAAATGAATTAAAACAATTATTCAACAAAACAAAATTTATATATCGATCATGTACCTATTTTATTTATGTGTGTTTTTAATTGGGCATGCATGTAATTAAGTAATTAACCAGGTAAAAATTGCACCATTTTACTCTAAAGTTGCATTATGATTAAGGATTTTAATATAACCGATTAGACTTCAAACCCTATTTTGAAAACGACATGTGAGTATAATTAAAGTCTATAAACCCCAACGAGACTGATGATGATGATGATGATGATGTGGTCAATAAAGTTTCATGATGCTACAGATCTTGCGAACACCAATAATGTCTGAAACTGTATTCAACTTAAATTTTATTTTTTATTTTAAATTTGTTTATTCCTTTTTTGCATTTTCTGGCAGTATCTGGTGGCAGTATTGTTTCTGTTTGCTTTCTTGTTTTTTGTCTCTTTGATGGAAAAAAGATTCCCTCTTCGGCAAATGATATATATATATATATATGTATGTATATATATTACTATAATGTGGACATCGGTACTTAGAAACTATTCTGCATTATTGACATGGAATTTTATATCCTTTCACATTTAGGGGAATAAGTTTGAAAATAAGGGAATCCAATGGAAAGTTATCAACAACTCCATCTTTTTTTTTTCTGAGTCAATTTCTTTTTTTTTTTACTCAGATGATATGTCTCAATGAATTTTTTTTGCTAGAACTTTTGAAAACCAAACAAAGAAACTACTTTTATTTAGGTTTTTTCGATTTTGGTGTGAATTTTATTTTCTTTATTGATTCAGTTCAAAAAATATAAATGATTAAATATGTACGTAATATTTGTTTGTTTTGGATTTTTCATACTCGGTTAAAATATAATTATATATGATTTAATTTAATACGATCGTGACACGGCAGTGTAAAAAAATATTACTGCAGTTGCAAAGCTCGTTCACATCGCTCTTCCATTAAAGAGAAAAGCAAAATTCAGATTTCTCAGGTGAAAAACCAAACGCAAAAGTACAAAAAGGAAGAAATGGAGAATCGCTGCATAAATATCTATAAGCAACAAGAAACTAAAAGCACAGAGTGACGTGGCAATCGAATAGCCGTCGGATTGATCAGAGAGTCAACACTTTGGAAAAATCGGGCGGTGGAGGTGACAGGTTCTGATTCGGAAGCCATCTGGGAGGAAATTTCAACGTGGCGATGAAAAGAAAAAGATGATAAGAATAATAACAGGAAAACCATATATATATATATATATATTGGAATTCATAAAAAAAAAATATATTGGAAGAGATTGTATGAATATCGAGGCATCTTAATACGTAAAATAAAAAGAGATCAATCTTATTGAATTATCGTTATAAAAAAAATCATTCATAAAGCCATCTTTTGGGGTAAAAATCATGTGAGGTTTTGGAATTTTTAATTTTGGTACGTACCGGGGTTAACAACTCGGAAACGGACGGCAATCCAGCCACCGGCCATTCGACCGGTTCGAGCAGGTTGAACCGTTCCGAGTCACGGGTCTGGTCGGGATTGAACCCAAAAATGGCTCGTGTCCCGCAGCACCAACTCCACTCGTACCTCAACACCCCCGCCGCTTTTGTCCCGCCTCGTGACTAGAGAGTTGTCAGCTGGGTGGGTCCGGTCGGACCCCTACCCGTTTTTGCATGGGTTATAATATATATATATATATATATATATGTTTGATAGATAGAGTTAATCTACTATACTTATTAAACTATTATATTTATTTAGGTTAACCCAAATTGGATCGCTGGGTTAAATGGATACTGTAAAAACTTTATCGAATAGAATTTTACGGACAATAAAGGAAGTCACGTCACACTAATTGATTACGTTATCATGTTACACTATATATATATACAAAACGTATACATACGTGTATATGTACAAGAGATTTATGTAACTTATTATACTTAACATTCAAAACAAAATAGGAAAATTCCTTTTGAGATTGTTTATGTTTACGAAGCCACAAGTTACTGCTGGGATAAATCTCTGACCAGAAGAGGCGTTTGTCCGCAGAAAGGAGAATGGCTGCGCAGTCCATGACCATGAGCCGGGCTCAGTTGGCATAAGGCCACAAGGAATTGTACAGCTAACCATGGCAGATGGTCACTGCATAACTCTGCGAAATCTCGTAATGAACCAGATGGGTTATATATATGCTGAGGGAGAGGTAGGTGTGAAGATGGGCTGAGAATGGAATCGACGTTTAGGTTTTTTCCTTTCGTATGTACAAAGAATGGGTCGATGCCTCTTTGAGTGTTCATGCTTTGTATCTTGTTTCATGGCCACAAGGAGTTCCATGCTCTGTGTTCTTTATCATATATGCTTTTAATTGCTTGTGCTGCAAGAAACTCTTATGATTCTGAATCTTCACATCGTTGAACTAAAGCAAGGAAGCTGAAAGATCATCGTCTTCTTCTTCAACCACATCAACACCATCTTCACCGGACATCACTCGAAAAGAAGATCTAGATGATATCTGACAAAGTTCATACTTTCATCCGCGTCAGCACCGTCTCTCTAGATAATATATTATACTCGCCACTGCCTCCTCCTCCTCCTCCTCCCAATTTCCCTGTTTTTTTTTTTATTCGTAAAAAATCTTTTTTTGGTCACGATCCTAACTTTATGCTCTCTCGTATAATTAACTTTTTAGTCATCCATAACTATTAGGGTTTTTTTTCTCTGCCCGAAGTTTCGAATCAAATTCATATGGGACAGCTCAGGGCTAAAGTCATTAATGGCGGCGGTGCAGTGGCAGAGTGGGAGGCGGGGCTTCCGACCGGAGCAGATCTTCCGCCGCTGTATCAGTTACTGATACCGCAAGGACTAGCTTCCGCTTTCCTCATCTCTCCGCAGCAGAACCCCACCGTCGTCGATGTGGATCGTGCGTCGGAGACGACCTTCTCCTCCATCCAAAACGGCCGTGTATCTCACGCGCCGTCGTCCGACACGAAGAAACCCATGACGGCGGCGAGGAAGCGGCAGAGGATGGTGTGGACGCCGGAGTTGCAGAGGCGGTTCCTGGACGTGGTGGGCCATCTGGGCGTGAACAACTCCGTCCCCAAGACCATCGTGCAGATGATGAACGTGGAAGGGTTGACTCGCGAGAACGTCGCCTCTCACCTCCAGAATGTAGAAACCTAAATCCCGAAACGATATTTTAATTTTCGAACAAAAATTCAAAGACAAAGATTGGGAGACATTTTTGAAACTTTCAATAAAACTTTCTGTGTTTTTATTTTTTCAATACATCCTTAAATAGAAAAACCTAAGAACAACAACAAAAACTACAAATATGCCGTTGTCTGTTTCCATCGGACATGACTCCAACTAAATGTAAAACTGCAAACTAAGCCTTAGACTCATTCAACACTAAACTGAAACATTTAACCGGACACAAAACAAGATAATTTTGAATAGACACTTAACAAGATTATATCTAACACAGAAGTACAGAATCTACCGGAGTCAGAGACATGGTTTCTCCGGAGACGGCGGCCGGTTTCGGCAGGTGGGTCTGCCGCTAACGCCGGTTCCGTACAATGCTCCGGCGACGGAGGTTCCGGCCTTTGGGCATAATGCAGTGCAGGGATATCATCATCAGCACCATCATTACCACCACGGTCATCATATCCATCATTATGATGGTCATGGTCCGAATCATCATCATAACTATCATCATGGTCATGATGGTGCAATTGGGTCGGGGTCTAACCAGGACATAACGGAACAGAATGGCTCCGCTGGTGGTTCTAACGACATGGAGCAGTAAGGCTTACTCTCAGGTAATGCATTTGCAATTGAGATGGCAAAAGGTTTATCTGTACATCTTCTAGAATCTTCCCAAATGTGGATATGGAAGTTATAAGGTTGGTGAGGGAAAAAAACCCTAACACGTCCACTTTTTATCCTGTCTGGATATTTGGTTTTGACCCACTAAATATGGCCTTGGATTATAGCAAACCAGGTGAACAGATGAACAAACTGAAACTAAAGGAGCCAACTTTTTGGGTAATGAATGACCTCTCAAGTAACAGATTTTCCCTTTCTCCTTCACAAACTTTCGCCATAACCGAACCCTCTTTTCTTGCACCAGAACCTCAACCAAAGCTCCCACCTTTTATATGTCTCTTCGTTCCTGTTCTTTTCTCTCACCCAATGCTCTGGCTTAATCTGCGAATCTCTCTTATCCTTTGTTTCAAGACCTGTGGAGAATAGTAATAACATGTTTGACAAGCGAATGGAAGCTAAGGCCGAGAGAAACGAGTCCACGAGGCTGCAGAGGCAAGTACCCGCGGCTTTGCAGCTAGACCGTGCTGCCCAGAACCCGTTTTCGCCATCCGGCGGCATGGAAGGGACCGCTATTCCGCTGCTTTCGCCTCTCTATGTTCCCCCGAGTCTGTCCTCTTCTTCCCGGGAGGGGGGAGAGTTCAGGTTTCTGGTTGACGGGAATGGTGGTCCTGACAAGAAGGGCTCTCAAGTGTTGCGGGACCGGCAAGAAGGGCAGCAATTTCCGGCCATGTCCGACCATGCTGAGCAGACGGTTCTCTTGACTATGTTTCAGACCAAGTTCACATTGAGGGCTTCTTAGTTAGTTTGAAGTTTCATGTTTCAGAAGTAGACATTTGTTTTTATCAAGATTCTTATCAAACGAATTTCCCACGAACCCATATCCCTTGTACGCAGGGCTTTCCCATATGAAACAAAGAAACTAGCGATCTTTGTAAAGAAAATCTATCTTTGGGAAGTTCGTGAAAAATTGGGATAGGACAAATGTGTGAGATTGGAAATACAATAGTTCCAGAAAAGGAGAGCGACTAATAAGGAGGACAAAAAACCAGTCTTTATGTACAGCAGGCCAACCCCGACGACTACACACAATTAAATATCTCTCTCTTATGTTTGTCTGAATCACAAAGTTCATCTAAGACATGGACCATTGAAGAGTGACTCTTCAAGCCAAACAAGACATGGTTGTACTTGAGATCAGAAGTCGAACTCCCCTGTCGCCTGTGAAAGGGGCCGGTATTTTAAAAAAGAGGGATCTTATCACACCGGTCCAAAAGCGTGGGCTAAGCGAGGGACGTACCTTGTTGAAGAGAATGTCTTTATCGTTTATATGCATGATCCCCTCCTTTAGTGTGCATTTCCACCTGCTCTTTGTGCGAGTCACCTTATTACAGCAACAAGCAAGGCTTACCCGTGGTTATAATATACGTATTAAACGGCATAACTGCCTGTCCGTCTGCATGAAGAGAAAAGTCACAGTATACCTTGTCGAATTGGGCCAAAACTAGGTGTTGAGTGTTAATATCCTCACCACTGTCAAGGTCATCCACCTCATCATCGTCATCATCTTCATTCAACAGCTCATCATCATCTTCATCGCCATTATCATTTTGTGCAGCAACAGGAGTGCTTGCTTGGGTTTCTAACATATGGGAAACTCAAGCCATATCATTTTCGCTTGCACTTAAACACTATCCAACATGTTTATAACTTTACTCACCATTAGGAGCAGGAGTTTTTGCCTCGTTGTAGTCTTCATTGGCTCCTTGGTAGCTGAATATCTTCAACCCAACGAAGTGATTGGCAGATACATGAGAATACCGATCAAGCATGTACCCCGGGCAGGGAGTTATATTATGATCCATTGCATGTTTGAAGACAAAAAGGAGGGAAACAACATAAAGTGACATGAAAAAGTTTCTCTTTTATTTATCCATGTAGATTTTAAGCAAGCAAATGCAATTTATATCAATTCCTATGATAGTCCTTAAAATGGATCCATCCGTATTAAGGAAAAGAAATATCTAGTAGTTGTTGATACACCGTTTAGGTTGTCTTGTATAAGGTGAGGGATCGAGAACACAGATGAAGCATCAAGATGGACACATCTACAGAAGGTTAAAAATTTCTTACATTGGGTGTAGATAGTATATCATCGTAAGGGTCAGGCATTGGGCCATCAACTTGAGGAATCTTCAGAGATGAGCCAGCGACATTTCCTGAGACCTTTCTATTGACGACATTGGTCACATGGTCCCCATTGTTTCCCTGCAAATTTGTATTCTTAGCATTTGGGTCACTTAGATTCAAGAACACCAAACACATAATGAGTAAGTCAGGTGTAATTAAAGCTTTAAAGAGCTTTCCAAATGTTGAGGACTCAAAGCAATATCTTCAAATGCATAAGTTTCATGACGATAAGTATAAACAGACTGCTTCAGATTTAATTTAAATTTGATTACTCGAATGATCACATCCAAGAATACAGCCTATAAAGATAGAGGAAGATGGAGCGAGAGAATCTTGGACAGAATGAGAGTAGTACCCCTCACTGCAATACTTACGAACTTCCAAGCAACTCTTAAAAACTTAATATCATGTATCTTGTTTGATGCCATCCATTACCATGTCAGATGATGCAAAAAAGAAAGATCTGTTTCCCTCAGAATGATTTTTCTGATTGGAAGCTAACCAAGTAATTAAAAAGCAATACTTTTTCAAGTGAACTATTCCAAATTCCAAGTGTTCAAATAAAGTGTTCTAAACACCTTGGGCATAGCATCACTGGCTCCATCTTGCTGTGGTATAGATCCACCATTTGGATATTGTGCAGGAAACTCCTCACGTTTTCGTTTCCCAGAACCAGAGGATGGCACAAAGAAGTCCTGGATGTATCCGATTGAAGTTCAAACTTTCGTTACAGCTGAGCTGACTTGCAATAATGAAGGAACTCATGGAAACACCAAAATCATTTGAATCTGGACCAGAATGCCAAAGACACGATTCCGCAACCTAAATATTAGGTACAAATACCTGCGTCAATTGCAGATTAGGGTTTCCTCTCTCAGACTCACTTCGGCCATCCATATAAGCTGTGAATAGGTCAGATAGTTAAATACCAAAACCAGACCAATACACCTGGGTGTTGCTAGAAATAGTACTTACCAACATTGACATCAAGCATTGGATTTGCCCATGGAGATGGTGATGGCTGCAACCAAACAACAAACTGTCAGTTCGCACACCATGGAAAACCTGCAAATACCATATCTCCAAAGAACCGTTTTTCATGCCGAGTCAACCCATGAAAACATGTAGACAATGGTGTTTAACAAGTACTGCTCACCATATAAGGACTGGGTCTTCCTTTAAGATCAGGGTTGTTGCCGTTTTCACTAGCAGGAGTTGGATAATCACTAGAACCGGTGGGGATGTTGTACATGGAAGAGTTATCAGCAGTACCTGGGAGAGGCGTCGGAAGGGGAGTCTGCAACGGAGTCTGCACACCAAGATAAAATAAAACCCAAGAGAATATCTCAGAAGTATAAGATTCAAGCAGATTCCAGTTGAATATCTCACCTCCATGAGACTCAACTTGCGGGGAAATAACATACCGGAGGGAAGAGCATTTCAGCAGTTGGAGTCTCGTACTCTTCCGTACCATCATACGGAACATTCAGATCGTGCGTCAGTGGACCACCAGGTGTCGGTTTCTGAGCCGATGACCTCTCTATGGGTCCACATATGACTCCAGCTTGCATCATCTTTCTTTCCCAAATCTACCCAATAAATTGCAATCAAAACAACGAGCATCAGCAATCTCGAGCTCCAAACCCACAGAGTTCAGCTAATTGGAGGAAATGAACCCCCGAAACCTAAGGCTACAGCGGATCAACTCAACATCTAGATGCCAACTGCGTCCCGGAATCGGCCATAACAAAGATCAATTTTCATCCGCTTCCAGAAAAAATGAAGATTAAAATCAATCGATTCAAGCATCCAAAGCTCCGGTAAAACATCGAAACTTACTCCTTGAAGCTGGTTGAGAACACTCTCGCCAGGACCTCCGTTATTGATGAACTCGTCCCTGACCTTGTTGATGACATCATCAATAACGTTAATGTAAACAGAGCTTGTGGTCGTCGACGTGGCCATCATTCCAGCTCCTCCGATCTCCTAGATTTTTCTCGGCGGCAAAACGAAATCCCTCCTCCGGGAATCTAATCTTCTACGGAGAATTTCGCAACAAAGAACCCGACAAACATACAAACACCAGATCAGAGATTTCCAAGGTCACCTAGGGTTTGACGGTGGAGCTAGGACGGAGAATGGCGGAGATCGGCGGGGAAGGGGGAGAGAGAGAGATCGAGAGAGCCGCCGAGGAAACAAAAAAGCAGGAAATAAATTCCAGGGGAGGAATATAAATAGGTTTGCATCAGATCGTGTGGGATTAAGGACACGTGGCATGATCTGAGTGCTCGAGATGGTTTTTCGTTTTGCAGCTGCGATATTTTTTTGCCCCCACATGGCTGTACAACGTTTTGATTCTGCTGCTACCATTTATAAGCGGTTGAGAGCGCATCTCCAACCGTCCGATCAGCCCAGCGCTTACGTCATCCGAAATCGAAGGTTTAGATCGAATCAACACGGATATTTTTGCTTTTGCCCCTTCCTCCGGTGAACTAGAATCACACATCTCTCCCTATATTTTATTTATTTTCCATTTTGCCCTAGTTATTTTGCTTCTAATGTTTTGACCCCATACGTAATCAACTTATCAACTAAATTTCGAGAGAGCTGATTCATGAGTGTTGGGGTGTCAATTTTGGCAAGAGTTGCAAACCACGGGCCACCAATCCGAAAAATAGTAGATTTTGGGTCGATATATTTAGGTAAATTTCTTTTTGAACTTTTACGATGGTTTTAGATCGAGTTTCAGATTTTTTCGAAATATCGATTTATTTTTTAAAAAAATATTCAAAATAACAAATTTAGCGGTCCGATTCGATTCCGACTCGAAGTCAAATCACCCAAAGAGTATAGGATTGGACTTTAGATTTAGTTATTTAGATCCGAAAAAAAATCGAATCAATCCAAATCCAAAACTTTTGAACCGAAGTTGGACTTGAGTCGGGTTGGATCGGGTCGACTTGGCCCGATTGACACCCAATGCTGGCTCAATCCCCTTAGCTCATAGGGGAGCTTTTGGTAATGCAATTCTACATCTCCTACAAAAAAATCATATCAAATTATAACGATTTACTGGGGTAATATTTTTAATCATTAATCAAAACACTTTAATTTGAATCGTTGTATCGTATAAAACGCACGGTTGTTTTACGGTTCGTATTTTGTACAAGCAAGGTGCATGCATATGTCCAGAAAACATCGTTACGTGGAAGTGGTCCGACCGTGTCGTGTTCTGTAGCATGCATGCCAATTCTAGGACTACACGTGTATTCCATGCACTGGTAGCTGCGTCATTGGCATGACGTATCCTATCATGTCATATACCTCATCGGCTATAACTTTAATTGTGTTTCATGATCCTGTATTTCTCATCCACATTCTTTACCGATAATCATTACACACAGCAATGGAGAAGGCGGCAGGGGGGATTTTCAGAGCCAGCCGATGGAGTCTTCATGGCATGACCGCTCTTGTGACTGGTGGAGCCAGTGGGATCGGGCAAGTCTTCTTCTTCCTCCTCCCTGTTTATCTCTGTTTTTGTTTTTAAATTTTGAGAAATGGGTATCGGAGAAATGATTTTGATTCACTGAATATCATCGTCTCTTTGCTGATATACGTTTTTTAGGCGTGCCATTGTGGAGGAACTGTCTGGTTTTGGGGCAAGAATCCATACGTGTGACAAATCTGAAGCTAAGCTTAATGAATGTTTACGTGAATGGCGAAAGAATGGGTTATTGCAAGTCAGTGGCTCTGTCTGTGACGTGTCCTCTCGGTCTGAGAGGGAGAAGCTCATGGATACTGTCTCCTCCCTCTTTGGTTCCAAACTGAACATCCTCGTAAGTGATCTGCTTCACCAAATTTTCCATCCAAGACCCACTTGTAGCTTATTGACTAATGGTCTTAAACGCATGCCTTTTGGGTTCTGAATATATATATAAAAGGTAAACAACGCCGGAATGGTTGTAGCAAAGCCGACTACCGAGTACACGGCGGAAGAGTTATCCGTACACATGGCTACGAATTTCGAGTCTGCTTACCATTTGTGCCAGCTCTCTCATCCTTTGCTGAAATCCTCTGGATCCGGAAGCATCGTGTTCATGTCCTCTGTTGCCGGGGTTGTTTCCGTTGACGTTGGTTCCCCCTACTCCATAACCAAAGGTGCGTCCTTTATGCCTTTTGAATGCGTATACACACCACGTATACACATACGTACGTACATACGTACATGTGCAGGAGCTTTGTGTCAGCTGGGAAGAAACTTGGCGTGCGAATGGGCCGGCGACAACATAAGGGCGAACTCTGTTGCTCCTTGGTTCATATCAACGTCTCTGGTTGAAAACGTAATCGAAGAACAAACACTTTTTCATCTGTTCAAAACCATTTCGAACAGATTCTCTTTCATTTTCAGATGAATTATCGGCTTCTACCTTCTGGGTTTTTTCTTTTTCCAGTTTTTCAGAGAAGAGAAGTTCAAGGAGGCAGTGGAGGCGAGGACTCCGATGGGTCGTGTCGGGGAACCGAAGGAAGTGGCGTCGCTGGTCGCGTTTCTGTGCCTTCCTGCGTCTTCTTACATAACTGGTCAGACCATCTGCGTTGACGGAGGTTTCACCGTCAATGGCTTCTCTTACCAACCAAAGGCTTAGAAACAATAAGGCCCTTCACAAACATTAATATCTTGTTGTGTAATAATGCGTTATTGCACATTTGTATGAGTAAAAAAGCCTTCACAAACGTAACTCAATGTGTAATGTGTTAATTGGTATTTTATATAAATGTGCGTGCCAAGTACCTTGGAATATGATGATATGCATGTCGAAATTTTTGTAGAGACAAAGAAAGTCAAGACCAGATAATTGCAAATATTGAAATTATGAATTAGTTTTTCAACAATCAAAGTTTTAAATTTTTTTTTTTTGAGAAAAAGTATAAGAAAGTCGAATAAATTAATTACAAACAGTTCCCTAATTATAATTAAATATTAGAATTTTGTTTTACAATTTTTTTGTAGGACTAAACATAACAAGTCAAACTAATTGATAACAAAAATTAAAACACAATTACAAAATTTGTTATATTAAAAGATGAAAAATTTAAAATGAAAATATAGATGATTTTTATGAACTATGAAACAAAAAACAGGGTATAAATCTGATCACAATTTTAGGATTTTATGGTCATAAGAAAACTTGAGCCATGAATGATGATGATGATGATGGTGGTGGTAAATGAGCAGTTATGTACAAAGACTTTGATGTCCATAGATTGTTTGTGTTTGGATCTTCCCTGTGGTCCTAACTCAGCCCATCTTTCGACCACATGTTTCAGAGAGATTTCATGTCTTAACTCTCCACTGCTCGTCTTCAACCCGAGTTTTTCCTTAGATGCCGTAACCATTACAAAGAATGGATAACAGGTGGAGTCTTCGGGGCATGACCGCTCTCGTCACCGGCGGAACCAAAGGAATCGGGTTCGTTGATCACATTAACTAATTTACCAGCTCTTTTCATCATTTCAGTGTTGTATCTATACTTCATATTCTTGATTTTGTTACGCGTTTCGGAATCCAACGTGTTTTCAGGCAAGCAGTCGTGGAGGAACTTGCGGGTTTCGGGGCGAAAATACATACTTGCGCTCGGGATGAAGCTCTGCTTAACCGATGCTTGCGTGAATGGCAATCAAAAGGGTTTCAGGTCACCGGTTCGGTTTGTGATTTGTCGTCTCGGCCAGAAAGGCAGAGACTAATGCAGGATGTCTCCTCTCAGTTTCATGGCAAGCTCAACATCCTCGTACGTGATCTCTCTCTGTCTCTTCAGTTAATCGGTTTCGATCTCTCAGAGATCTGATATTCTCGTCTGATCATCATCATTTTCGTTTCTTGCATATACAGATAAACAATGTCGGCACGTTTATCCTGAAGCCGGCTGTGGAATGTACAGAAGAAGATTTCTCGATTTCGATGGCTACGAATCTGGAATCCGCTTACCATCTCTGCCAACTCGGGCATCCTCTACTGAAGGCGTCGGGATATGGGAGCATCGTGTTCATCTCCTCGGCTTCTGGGGTTGTGTCAGCTCTCAACACATCTATCTATGGCCCAACAAAAGGTTCATTCTTGGCATTTTCATTGATCGATCAAGACCTTTGTCCAAGCTGCCAAAACCCGAGCCAAGTTACAGTTTCTCTGACGATTAAAATCTCATCCATTACAATTCATGAGTAAATAAACGTGTATGCATATCTAAGGTTTTTCTGGTGTATAAATGTGTACCTAACTGACTCTATATATACACATGTAGGTGCCATGAATCAACTGGCGAGAAATTTGGCGTGCGAGTGGGCAAGCGACAACATAAGGGCTAACTCCGTTGCCCCTTGGCTCACTGTAACTCCTCTCGTCGAAAACGTAACGCAGAATCGCTGCTTTCTGACCTCTTCTTTCTTTAAATCTGCATATTTTGTCTGAATCTTATGGTCCGAAACCCGACTTTTTCAGCTGCTCGAGGACGAAAAACTGATGGAGGCTATAATCTCGAGAACACCACTAGGCCGTGTTGCAGAGCCGAGGGACGTTTCGTCTCTCGTAGCGTTTATGTGTCTTCCCGCCGCTTCTTACATAACTGGTCAAACCATCTGCGTCGATGGAGGTTACACTGTCAACGGCTTCTCTTATCAGCCTCAGGCCTGAAACCGATGAAATTTCGAAATTCAAATTGTATCGATATTGTTACATTTTCGAACATTGTAAAATGCGTAAACGCAGTGCTTGTTTCACGACCAATTGAGTATATATATGCATGCATATATATACTCCATTGGTATCAAAACCTGTACAACGAGCTCTCTGTCTATTAGTTGTAATGAACACAAGTGGAGGTGAGATTCATAGTCTGCAAGATCTGGACCGAACCGGGGAAGGTTTCAGTTTTCTACAGACGGAAAATCGATATCGCAAGAGCTTCTACATTATGAAATATATAACCGTAGCTCTCCCTTACGATAGGGGTCTTATTTCCTAATACAAATAAGGTTCTGAGATTCATATATATCATCTGCGTGTAGAGATTATTTGCGCTGATGGGAGTTTTGTCACTTCATCTTCACTTTTGTCGGCATTCTTTCTTTGACCTTTTCTCAGTGTCTTTATCTGGTCTTGTTCCAAGAAACAGTTTTGGACATGTGAGAGCATCTCAATCATGCTGTCTGTTACTGTCACTGAATGTTTCTCACCACACATTCATAGAATAGGAGGCGTCCTTCACCATTTTCTTGGACCTACATCCGTGGTTTCCTCAGTCATCTCTCACCGGACAGGAATGGACAGCAGGTGGAGTCTTCGAGGCACGACCGCTCTCGTCACCGGTGGAGCCAGTGGAATCGGGTATGTCTTCTTGGTTCGATCTTTTGCATCTACAGATACGAGATTAGGGATCTCTCGTTTGTTTTTATGTGGCCGGCTAGGATTTGTGACATGGTCGTCTGATCTTTAGGCATGCCATAGTCGAGGAACTAGTTGGGTTTGGAGCAAGAATCCACACGTGTGATAAATCCGAGGCTCAGCTCGACAGATGTTTACGCGAATGGAAAGCCAAGGGCTTTCAAGTCAGCGGCTCCGTCCATGACATATCCTCTCGGCCCGAGCGAGAGGAACTGATGCAGAACGTCTCCTCTCTGTTCGGCGGTAAACTGGACATTCTCGTGAGCCATCTTGTTAAGATATGATATGTGCTTTAGGCGAAAAAACTAACTGGGGGGCTGACTAATGGATAGATGGTGGCGTAGGTAAACAATGCAGGCACCATACTGAGAAAATGAAGAACGACCGAGTATACGGAGGAAGATTTCGCCTTTCTGATGGCCACGAATTTCGAGTCGGCTTACCATTTATGCCAACTGTCGCATCCCTTGCTCAAGGTTTCGGGTTCTGGCTGCATCGTGTTCACCTCTTCTGTCGGCGGGATCGTGTCGCTTAGCGGCGGATCCCTGTACGGCGTGACCAAAGGTATATTCTTTACTTCACAATAAAAATCAAGTACTCGTCCACAGAAGGAATGAGTATGGTTCTATACGATGAGAACTCGACCTTCGGGTTTGGGTGTAGGCCGGCGAAGATCTATACCCATAGTTAGAGGTGTAAAACGTGCCGGTCTAGCCTGAGCCCGCATTTCGGTTTAGTTTTGGGTTCGGGCCGACCCGTCTTTTTGGACCTATAGAACCAAACGTGAAGTCCGGCGCTATAGTACTCGGGTTCTGGCACGTCCTTATGTGCATGAAATGCAGGAGCTATGAATCAGCTAGCGAGAAACTTGGCATGCGAGTGGGCGAAGGACAACATAAGGACAAACGCAGTTGCTCCTGGGATCATTGCCACTTCTCTGTCTAAACCTGTAACCCAAGACGAGATCTCTTAGCTAATCTTGTTTTATTTCTGTCATCTCTTCAAACTGACCTTGTTCATGTTCCGTTCTCAGACAATCGACGACAAGAATTTCATGGAGGCTTGGAACTCGAGGACGCCACTCGGTCGTGCGGGAGAGCCGAAGGAGGTGGCGTCGATGGTGGCCTTTCTCTGTCTTCCCGCTGCTTCGTACATTACAGGACAGACCATTCGCATTGATGGAGGTCTCTCCATCCATGGCTTCTCCTATCGGTCTGTAAACTAATATCCACATGTTCCCCCCTCTTGTGTGAAACCAACGGTTTCCATGAATGCTTCAACGTACACAAACTATGATGTATGATGATCGATTCAATCGATGGATTGCTCTGTTCTGTATTGGCGGATTTCCCATTCGTGCTATGGTCTCAAATTAGGTTTCTCCTTATCTCATTCTCTCTCTAGTGTTCGAGCCCACCACGAAAGCCTGGGCCGGTCATCTGTCCCACCGAATCGGATCAACTACAGATTCTGGCCGAAATTCCCTCCCGGATACAGGTATCAGATTCAAACATTTCCAGAAAAAACCCTAGGTTTCTTCGATTAAGCAATCGCTTTCGGCAAATCTGTACTCGGTTCTGAACGACGAGTACACCCCAATGTCGAGCACTCGTCTCTCCGATCACAGCCTGGATTTGAGCATTTCTCCGCCATCAAGCCTCTGCATCTCAAGATTTCGATGAGGTAAGCCTTCAGACTGTGTTAAAGGATGGTGCTTTGTCGGTATAGGCTTATTGATTCAGATTCAGTTGTGGGTTTCATACAAAATCTGGGTTCAGAAGGCCAGATTTCCAATGGGACAAATGGAGGGAGGGTTCAGGGTCAAAGGGTTTTCGTCCTGTTGTTAAAGGCTCACCATTGATGAAAGTAACTTCATTTCCACCATTGATGAAACCCTGAAATCGATGAACAGAAAGCAAAACATTTGCACGGGTTTGATGTAGTGTGTTTCATGTTTCTCTCATGCCTGAGTCACTACAACGACTAATCTCGCTGTCCAATTGAACGACAATAAATGAGGATTGATTCAGACCAAATCTGTAAGCTGCATCGTTGGTATTCACTTTCAGCCCTTTTCATGTCTGTGGCAAAGTTTACTGCAACTGCAACTTCACACTTCGTAAAATCTTTCTTAAGCAGACAGAGACAATGTGTTATCTCATACATTTCTACCTATTCAACTAACTTCCATGGAATTTTCAGGCATTCATCCCTCAGAACAATACACAGCAATGGCCAGAACAGAGAAAAGCTTCAGAGACGAAAAATGGGGGGCCTTCGAGACATGACAGCTTTTGTCACCGGTGGAACCAAAGGGATGTCTTCCTATTCACCCAATTCTTTCTACTTGTTCAAAAAAGAAAAAATCTTATTCACCAATCTGGGAACGAATAGAGGGTGAGGGGGGAAAAGACTCTGATTTTAGTCTGCTCTTAAAATTTTAGGCGTGTTATGTGGAGGAGCTTGCAGATCTCGGGGCAAGAGTATACACATGTGCCAGAGATGAATCTCTGCTTGTCAAACGGTTATGTGAATGGCAAGAGAAGGGCTTTCAAGTTAGCGGTTCAAATTGGTATTTTATATAAATGTGCGTGCCAAGTACCTTGGAATATGATGATATGCATGTCGAAATTTTTGTAGAGACAAAGAAAGTCAAGAAACTGTCGACTTCAGTCTGTGATGTATCCTCTCGACCCGAGAGAGAGAAACTGATTCAGCAACCATTCTCTGTGTTCAACACCAAACCCAACATCCTCATACGTAATCTTGAGCTTCTGGTTGGTTTGTCAACCTTCCTTCTTGCTTTGTTTCTTCCTTTGTAGCTATTAGTCTTAGTGCCACTACATACATACACACTGAAGAGAAAATTTAACAATTTATCCCCATAATATCAGCCGGGGGCTTGAAACTTGAAAGCTCTTCAAGCATAGTTAAAAAAATTTATGTTGAAATACTCATGGTTCTGAATGAGTGATGTATTAACAATTTATCCTCTTCTTGCTGTTGAATCAATTCTTCAGGTTCCTCATGCTTTGTTTTAACTCTGTTTCAGTTGCACTAGTTTACTGGAATCTGTTGCCACATGTCAATATATGGTCCATGTATAACTCTTCCAACCAATTAAAGGACAACATAATTGGGAACATAGACATTTATGAGAGCTGAAAGTTAACCTTTGAGTGAGTTTCAGCCTTGTTATTATCTGTGGCTAATCTTCACCTTGGAATTATCGATCTGTAAGCAAATTTATGGTCCCCTTGAATCTGGAGGCCCTTCTTCTACAATATCATCCTCAGCTAAGTGAAAGCGATACACAGAAATGGCCAAAGCAAAGAAAAGCTGCAGATGGAATCTTGAAGGCATGACCGCTCTTGTTACTGGTGGAACAAAAGGAATCGGGTTCGTTCTCCACCTTACTTACAAGCAAAAGGCATTTCCTTCCATCTATTTTGAGAATAACCAAAAGATGAAATATGAAGGATGAGTTCATTGTTATGCTGTTGAATCTTGTAGGCATGCTATAGTGGAGGAACTAGCGGGTTTCGGGGCAAGAGTGCATACTTGTGCCAGAGGAGAAGCTGAACTTAACAAATGCATATGTGAATGGCAAAGGAAGGGCTTTCAAGTGAGCGGTTCGAAGCTAAGGCCGAGA